GCGGGCAAAGGCTAAGTCCCGCTCCTCCCGCGCGGGCCTGCAGTTCCCAGTGGGCCGAGTGCATCGGCTGCTGCGGAAAGGCAACTACGCCGAGCGCGTGGGCGCCGGCGCCCCGGTGTACCTGGCGGCCGTGTTGGAGTACCTGACGGCCGAGATCCTGGAGCTGGCGGGCAACGCGGCGCGCGACAACAAGAAGACGCGCATCATCCCGCGCCACCTGCAGCTGGCCATCCGCAACGACGAGGAGCTCAACAAGCTGCTGGGCAAGGTGACGATCGCGCAGGGCGGCGTGCTGCCCAACATCCAGGCCGTGCTGCTGCCCAAGAAGACCGAGAGCCACCACAAGGCCAAGGGCAAATAAGGGCCCGGAACACCGCTTCGAAACCAAAGGCTCTTTTCAGAGCCGCCTACTGTCTCTGCTAAAGAACTGTTCTCTGATAAACTCATTCAGACCTGGTTAGTTTTTTGCTCGACTAATGCGTAAATTACGCCTTGTTCAAAAACATTAACTGCTGAAGCCCCAGAAAGGTACGTTTGCATATCGAACCATCCTGGGCACTTCCTCTTCCTACGTACACGTACTGTTTAGGGATGTGAATACTTATGTTGATACCTCTAGTATCTGAACCAACCTTTTTTCTATTTTTTTGCTACAGTACACTTCGTCCCTGGGGCTGCTAAAATCGCTGTCCCAACTCCCAAGGCCCTTTTCAGAACTACCTTACACGTAAATGGAAAAGACTTAAATTAGTGGCTAATGTAAATTCACAATCTCTTGGTTCATGCTGATTTATATTGCACTTTCGGAGGTCCAAGCAACTAGTATCAAAATCAATTATGTTAGATATTGCCTATTGGTACCACTTGGGCAAACAGATCCATCCTCTCCGCCCTTCCTCACACCGCTCTGCAGAAACTTGAGGTTCTCACCTCTGAGGGGCCAGAGGCCAATGTGCTTGTCTTATTTTTAGGGCATTTTTGCTGTGGATTTTTGTTCAGTCATTAAAAGCACGTAGGATACTTTTCAACTAAGGAATACATTATTCTATCTGTAATTTTTCCCTTTATCTGGAACGGAAAATTTTAAGAAAAGTTTGGAATGACTTCCACCTTCTGACCAGGAGTGCTCGAAAATAATTTGGAAAATAATACCAGAGCGTTCTGAATGGTACAGAGTAGCCTGGGTAAAAAGCCAATCAGGACACGCCAGCAACACTTTTGACCAATCAGGAGCGGATCATCCGTATAAATACTGAACCAGGCGCACTCTTTTTCAGTCCCCTGACTTGGTTTGAGTAGTCTCGTCATGGCTCGTACGAAGCAGACAGCGCGTAAGTCCACCGGCGGCAAGGCCCCGCGCAAGCAACTGGCTACCAAGGCGGCTCGCAAGAGCGCACCGGCCACCGGCGGCGTGAAGAAGCCGCACCGCTACCGGCCCGGGACCGTGGCGCTGCGCGAGATCCGCCGCTACCAGAAGTCCACCGAGCTCTTGATCCGTAAGCTGCCTTTTCAGCGCTTGGTGCGCGAGATCGCCCAAGATTTCAAGACCGACCTGCGCTTCCAGAGCTCGGCGGTGATGGCGTTGCAGGAGGCGAGCGAGGCCTACCTGGTGGGGCTGTTCGAGGACACCAATCTGTGTGCCATCCACGCCAAGCGCGTCACTATCATGCCCAAGGACATCCAGCTGGCGCGCCGTATCCGCGGGGAGCGGGCCTGAGCTCGCGACGCCTGCACTCCCCCACCCCCCCAAAGGCTCTTTTCAGAGCCACTTCTGTCCTCCCAGAGAGGCTGTCACACTCTTTATGAAGGGGAAAGTAGGTACTGTACGCATGGATGACCTTTAATTTGTTTGATCACGGCGGCTCACAGAATACCCGGGTCAGGTCAATGCAGGTTTAACTTTCAAAGAGAAGCAATCTGCTCAAAAGTAAGGGGAGTTTCAGCTAATTATGGAGGCTATATTTTTCCCAGGGTGGGTAGTGTTTTCCTACCCAGTCCGGTTTGAGCCCTAGTGGTCCACAGTGACAGCATTCGCCCTCACGGTGGAAGCCGGTTATTTCTGCCTCCTCCCACCCTGACCTGGTTGTCCCTGACCGGAGAATACATAGCATTTACCGCTGTTTCGGGAAAGTTGATGACAGGAACTTCTGGTGTTCCATTTTAAACCAGTACTTTATGACCCCCCCCCTCCAAACAAACATCAGAATTTGGCTACAGCTGTACTGCAGGGAGCTAGCTATTCAAAGGGCCATTGTGGTTCTCAAGGGAACAGGTGTCTTGGGCAGGCACCTGGTGGTGACCCTGTGGGGAAATGCTCAAAAATGTTTATTCTCCACATCCATTTTACAGTTGTGATGCTGCAGATTCAACAAATTAGCTCTGGTTTTGCCAGCCTCCAGGAGCCTGGTGCTGCAGACCTGGGTGTGTGGGGTGATCCGTGGGCCTCTGGCCGTGGCAGCGTGATGAGGGCGGCTGCGCCTCTGTGTGAGACCAGCAGAGACCGAGGGCACTGTGTACCCCTCTCCCCAGGGCTTGCTGCTCCCCTAATCCCTTTATCACCCGACATTGGAGCGTGTTAAACAGCAGCTCCTGGAGACAGTGTCCTCCAAATCTTTGCAAAGTTAAATAGTTAAAGTCAAATTTTGCTTTCTTTTCTAAAGAGCAAATTGAGTTGTTTCAGCCTTCCACCTGAGGGAGACACTCGCTGGGCTTTGGAGTCTTCAGAGATCCCATGTTTCAGAACTATGGACCAGGAGGGCTTTTTCTAGGTGAAGCCTAAGTTTGGGCCTAGAAACGGTTCTTTTAGGGAATGTTCAAAACTTACTTGATGCTCTCCCCCGAATGAATCAAGCTGGACTCCATTCCAGAGTGTAAGCTAAATTCAGAGTGGCTTCCGAAGAAACGAGATGGCACAGAGCCCAAACCTTGGGCTGCAGTGGAGCCTGGATCTCCCGGAGTCCTGCACCTACCCTTGCTCTTGGGTCACCCTGGTAAGAAACAGACCTTCCGTGTCTGCAGGAACCAAAATAGCCACAGAACAGCCACATGTGGCCAGTGGCTCCTCAGCAAACTGCGGGCTCCAACAGGCGGACCCTTACTCCTTGGAGACCCTGGGCCAGAGCCATGGGCCACTCTGACTTCCTGGCTTTCATAAAGTTGGGATAGGGTCCATTTGCCATTTTCAAAAATTTTTTGAGTAGCTTAAGCACAACAAATAAACCCTTCGTGTTATTGAGCCTGCTCGCTGCCATTGTTTGATTTGCTTGTTAGAACTGTGAGGCAGGTGGGGCTGGCGTTGTCCTGAGGGTGTCCAGCCGGGCTGCGTGAGCTGGGGCAGCACTGGTGTTGAGCCCTCTGGGCCTCTCTGACAGCATCTCATGGACTGTTGCTTATTGTACAGAGCGTCGCAAGTCCTTCTCCGTTTCCTCACCCCACACCACCTTATACTGATGCATGGGAGGAAAACATCTCCTTTCTACTTAGATTCCTTGGCTGAGGCTCTTGTGAGCAGAAATGGAAGGAGAGGAAGCCTACAGTACGCTCACAGATCGGTGTGGCTCTCAGTCCCGTGGAGGAAACCAGGCCTCAGTGAAGCTGGGGCGGAGCAGGCAGAGCCTGGTCCCCTCAGGTCGGTCCTGAGTCCTGCTCGCTGCAGTCCATGTTCCTTGCCTCGGCCTCCTGCTTGCAGGAGCAAAAATCCTCTCTCGGTGAAGCCAGGCTTTGTGAGAGCCAGACATCCTACTCCAGGATTCCCCTCAGCTCCTGGGGTGGAGACACCACCCTGGCGCCTTGGAGCCTGTTGCTGTTAATGCCACTTTAGAGCTATGAGATGTGCACTTTATTCAAGAGATTTCTTTAAATTCCCTGTGGCAGTGTTATGACATTGTCTCAGACAGCACATTATGTGCTCAGTGAATATTCACTGAACTGCACTGCATCTGTGAGTTTAGGTTTGGAGAACTCCTCAGAGAATTGAGAAGATACACTTCTGTCCTCTCATGAGGCTCAATTCAGGAATCATTATCTTTGGCTAAAATTTGGGAAACAAGCCGAGTGTAGTGGAGGACGCTTATAATCCCAGCACTCTGGGAGGCTGAGGCAGGAGGATCACAAAGTTGAACAGGCTTGGGCAATTTAGTGAGTTAGAAAATCCTGTCTCAATATAAAAAGTTTTTAAAATGTCTGGGGAAGCAGTGTTAGTTGATCACTAGCATTACTGACACACAAGCAAGTTATTTTCATAGCTAATCTCATTAGTGAATGGCTGATCTTATTTCTTTGACAGTCTGTTAATTTCTGGTTTTTGAAAGGCCAAATTTCCCAAACTTGCTTTTCCATTTCTAAATATTATTTGAAGCAGAGGAAACCTCCCTCTGTAGAAGACCGAAAAGATGTTGAAATAATCAGATGAGAAGAGAGCCTTTCAGACTTGTCCACACATTCCCAGAAGTGCAGAAATCCTAAAAGGATACAAAAGAGACCAAGCACTCAGCAAAAACTCACTGCAGGTGAAATACACGCAGACCCCTCACTTATTATGAAAGTTGTTCTGAGATGTGAGAAATTGAGTTTGAAAGGAATATTTCCCTGTGGACAATGACTAACTTTCTGACCTGAACAAGATTGTAAACACTGCTTTCTGAGATGAAAATTAAGAAAAGCTGCATGAAAATTGTCATCTATGTAAGCGGTCTGAAGAGGGGTTAGAGATGATCACTCTGTGAGAAACTATCCCTCAACTGCAGTAATTATCCAAAGAAAAACATTCTTGGTTTTTAAATGGAGACACTGGAAGAGCTAACAATTATATATTTAAAATTTTTCTGCTTTACATAATCAGACAAATGTAAAACAAAACAAAAAAGCACTGTATAATATCCATCAAATTGGCAAAATCATAAAGCTAGGTATGTTACTTGTGCTGCCAGAGCAAGATACTATTATAGCCAGCTAAATTAGATGTAAATTAATATTCAGAGAAGCACTGGGCCCTCAAGGAACTCAGCACAAAAAATAAGACATTATAATTATAAAGCAGACATAGTGGTGCACACCTGTAATCCTACTGCTTGGGAGGCTGAGGCAGAAGGATCACTGTGAGTTTGAGGCCAAGCTGGGCTATGTAGTGAATTCAAGGCCAGCATGAAATGCGTAGTGAGATTAAGTCTCAAAAAAGAGAAGCAAATAGAAAGGACATCAGAATTGAACGTGGAGGTACAGCTGAGCAGGCCAGGCCTGAGGCTGAAGATGCAGTGGCCAGGCCAGCAGGCTTCCTTGAGATAAACAATACTGTGATAGTCCACTGTCATTAGCATCACCTGGTGCATCAAATCAAGATGGGTATCAGCAGCCCAGGTGGGTGAGCAGGGCATCCACACTCCTCCCATCCCAAACTGCCTTTGTTCTTTCCATGTTCCCTGCTATGTGACTCATTAGCTAAGTGGCTGCACTTGTGATCCTACAGGTTGCCGGCAGTTTGACCCACTTTTTACACTCACTGTGACTTTGCTGTATAACGGATCCACTTGGGACCCATTCTTCTTCCCCTTATTTCCAACAAATCTGTGACTTCCTCCCCTGCTTCGCAAGTTTATTCCTATAAAATCAGTACATCTGACATCTAACAGGTCAGGAGTTAGGTTTCTCCTCTCAACACCATCACTGGGGAGCTGATACACAACTCCCCATTTCTCTCTCACAACTCAGAGGTGGGGATTGTCGAGAGCCGGGTCTCCTGGTTCACAGGATAGCACCTTCTTGCCATGTCTATCTCTCAAAGGGTGGTTACTCTCTGGGCCTTGAGTGTGGAAGCACTGGTCCTATTCCTGAGATCCTGGGCTCTGGACTTCAGTGTCTCCTGGAGCACTATCTCTGTCTCCTAGCTGGGGCTTTGGCTCTACACAGCAAGCTTCTTCAGGGACTTGCCTATCTACAATAGTAGGGAATCCCAGTTCAGAACGCAGGAGCTTTTTTTTTTGGTACTGGGGATCAAACTCAGGACCTCACATTTGTGAGGTATGTGGTGGAACCACTGAGCTAAATCCCCACCCCCATGACCCCCCCAGTTCAGAACTGAGAAAGAACAGAAACATTACTTTTTCCTCTCCACCTACATATGATAATCATTAACCAAGATGTAGGGTAGAAAGTCAGGCTAAACTGGGAGGCCTGGGTATGAAAAGCTTTATAGAGCGGACAGCACATTCGGTGTTTACTAGGATACAAACGGATTGGGTCCAACCCTTTAGGTTAAGCAGTTTAGGAGCCTGCCCAGGTGGGTTACACCTTGTAATCCCAGAATCCCAGGCCGAGGCAGGAAGATTTAAAGTTTGAGCCCAGGCTAGGAAATTTTGTAATTTAGAAAGATTTTGTCTCAAAATAAAAAATTAAGAGGGCTGAGAGGTGGGTGTAGTGGCTCACGTCTATAATTCCAGCACTCAGGAGACTGAGGCAGGAGGATCGCCACAGGTACAGGCCAGTCTGAAATCTTGTCTCAAAACAAAATAAAATTCCCCAAAACACAAGAGAAGCTATGGGGAAGGTGCCTGGTTCAATCTCCAGAAAAAAAAAAAGAAAAAAAAATTGAGAAACTGTCATTGAGCCAATTTTGGGTCAGCAAACAGCCCACAGAATGTCA